CTAACAGGATTACTTGCTGACACTCTTCTAGTTTATCCAAAAAGTCAAAATCTATGTTTTTATAGAGATGAACAATGTTATCTGTGCAGTTGTTTGCCCCTGCCGTGATTATAACAACCTCGCCGAGGTTCCCAATTGACTGATCGGAATTCATAATACTGATGATATCTTGAATTTTCAAATCGAGTTCCCACGTACACTCCATCCGATAATCCTCCAGACCCAAAGCCTGTCGTAAATCCGGGGGAATTGACTTGCCAGTGTAATCATTGTAAAAGGAAACTCACTTTTTATTGGTGTTGCCCTTTTCAATTCCGTTCACCTGCTGGGAAAAAATTTCTGATACTGTCTTTTTTATCGAGGCTTCTGTCTCCTTTTCCCGACCCAAAGTTTCCCTTGGTCGGGAATATACGCGTTTTTTGGCGGCTGTTGAGACATTTGTTGGCCGAAAAGACGGAGGCACCGATTTCGTAAATGAGTAGGCTCGTTGCATTCATAACATCTACGACGGGCATAGGGGTTAAAGAGTCTTGGGTCCTTTCCGAAATTCTGGAAATTGTTCTGGGGTGCCTGGGAATTTTGTCCTTGGTGACTCATATTATTATTACATATTAGAGATTCATGACACAAATTTCTCATAGAACCCTTCAACAGTGGCTTGCTTTTTTGGCAGCCAATTTGGCCATCGAACCGGGGTTTAAATGGAAGCTGATAATAACCCAAAGATCTGAGAAAAATTTTGAAATGAGTGTAAGAACGGTTTGTTGTAAGTAACGAGGAGAGGCGGGCAAAGCGGCTAAAATCCCCTCTAATTTTTACAGTTTTTCTGTCGAATTAATGTTGCCGCGGGCTTCTGACTGTTTCCACACATAGTTTCTGTTCAGCATATCGATACATAAGGATTTACACACGTAGAATCTAAATTTCACGTCAGGGAGTCGACATATTTCGATTTTTTCGATTTTATACGGAAAATTGATGGTTTCTCGGAATTGATATCATTATTGTTTCATGAAAAATAAATGCACCCGAAATGACTATAGCATATTGATTTTTACACATTTGCACTCACGAAATTGGTTGCTAAATTCAACGAGTGGGTGCATCGACCTGGTATATCGAGTTTCTGCATTTTTTTACGGCAAATCAGTAGATTTTCGGGATGTAGATTGCTTACTTTCAATTCATGAATGAATAAAGCAACGACATGGTTGAACTTCTTTGCATGGAAAGACGTTTAAAATAACAAAATCAAGACATATTTAATGTAATTGCATTTATATCGAGTCAATTTCTTGTCAATAATATAACGGGACTTATACTACCGGTGATTTGGGTATTCCAGCCCCAAAATACCTCCAAATCGACTTTATCTTCTAGGAGTTCGACAAAATTTTTCCTTTCTTCGCTTATATTCCGTAGCACTTTTCTTCAAGAATCTGATAAGATTTTGCTTGAGGCAGATCAAAAAACTTAAATTCGATCGAATAGCTTTCTACATTCACAATACACGGTCTCGTCAAGGTGCGTCGTTGACCTCGCAGTGTTGGATTGTGAATTCTCTTGTTGTGCTGCTTGCCTATTTTGAAATCTCTGTAAATGAAAACTAAAGGGGTTGATATGTGCGAGTTAATGACGCGCCTTATCAACACATTGTGTTGGAGTTCACTGCTTGTTTTGATTATTTTTGGTTTTGAAGGTCTTGTTGCATGCCTGAGTGATTATTTGCAGACAGGTGAGAGCGGTTAGCACAGTATTTATGGTAGCGTTTTGGACTGCTTGCTTTGTGTATTTTGTGAAGTCTTGGAATTTTTCCTTTTTGAGCCACCATCCCTGGTGTGATGTGTCCTTGGAGCTGATCGGATTTGGGCTGTTTGAGTCGTAGCTGATTTTGAAAGTAATGGAGTTGTGAAAATTCATGTTTTCTTCAGTGTGTGTGATTATGTAGGATATGCGGTTTTAGATAGACGAGGATGTAATGATGAGGTCTATGTATGAGTTTCCCATTGGGCCGGAGAAAGTCGGCGTTTCAGAATTTGGATCATTTTTGACTATCAGATCGTTTGCGGAGAGCCATTTACGGAGAATTTTACCGCGAGGGTCTTCTAGGCGGTCTTCCCATTACGTTGAGCGGCAGTTAAAGTCGCCCATGAGAATAACGGGCTTTGTTTGATTTTTCAAGCTGTGGTCCAGATTATTTAGAAAATCTCTGAATTGGCCAATTGTTAGTGCCGGCGCCGGATGGATATAGCAGCCATAAAATACAATATTATTGTATTCAAAGGTGACGAAGCCGGAGTATTTTTTCCAGTTTATGCATCCTCCGGTCAAATCAGGCGTGGTGAAGACTGCAACGTCATTTGCGGTATCGCAAAAATTACCATCAAATGTTGCTTTGTAGATATTAGGTTCTGGTAAAACCATGATTCCTGCTTGGGTTTCAGCAGCTAGCTTTTTTGCCGCGTCGTGTGATTCTGGAACTCTGCCTGTATTGCATAAGAGTGCTGAAAAATATTTTGCCATTGTTTGTTTGTTTGTTTTCTTACCAGCCATAATTTATTTTCTTGAGCTTCGCCTCCAAAGCTTGGGTGAAACATGGGCAATTTTTATCGTTGATGGAGTGTCTCAGATTTTCTAGCTTCCCACTGGCAATGCATGCTGTGCATTTATTCCTGTTTTTCATAGTGCAGTGATCAGATTCATGGTCTGCTGAGGCGCAGAAGAAACATACCTGGTTTGGGGCCCTGCAAAATTTTGCGGGGTGCCCATAGCGGATACATTTGTAGCATCTCGTAGGGGAGATATCGTCATAGCAGATACAACTTGAGAAGCCTATGAAGAGTTTTCGTATATTCATAATGGTGTGTCTGATGACGGGAGTGCATTCAATTAATATTGTTTTAGTGCCGTAGACTTTGTCTGATTTGGTCTGATAATTTTTGATAATCTTAAAATCATCCATGAAGTCGGACTGGGTGAATTTGGCATTATTCTTAATGAAAGCATTTTTATGATAAATGTCATGAATAATGTCTTCGTTCGTCAGGTCATTTTCCACGTTTCGCAATGTGATTTGCGGGTTTTTTAAGGCAACCGCATTGCACTTCATTTCACCGGAACCTTCCAGTTTTTCCTGTATTAGAGTTAATTGGGTGTTATCATTTGCAGTGATCAGTATGGTGTCTTTTTTCTGAATGATTCTTTTGACTTGTACGTCAGTTTCTTTGAGGCTGCTTCTAACTAAAGAGGGGAAGTCCTCGTTTCGGCTGCCATTTGCGGTTTTAACTTCGATAAGGTGTGTGTCGGTATTTGGGGTGCGTAGGTTCTTTCCAATTTTTATCTTGGGGGCCATGAAGTTGCCTGTTTCTGTTTCCTCTATAAGTTTTTCCAGTCCTTTGGGCTTCTTGCGTCCGAGTGTAGTGTCTTCTGCGATAGGGAGAATCCTCAAAGCTTCGGAGAAGTTTGCTGTATTTATCTTGAGTTCATTTACCGATGTGTGTAGTTCGGCATATCCGATTTGAGTTTCCTGCAGGATTTCTTTCTTTATGTCATCTTTAAAAAGTTCTAACTTAGAGTCGAAGGCTTCCATTTTAGATTCTAGATTGTTCAGAGAATCCATTATTTGATTGTCGGAATAAGATGTTGATGCAGCTTTTTCCTTAGTAATAAGGTCTCTTAGATTTTGACAAAACGCAATTATGCTGTCTCGATTTCCACGAGGAAAAGCCGTAGTTAAATATTATCTGAGAGTGGTTTATGAATAAATTCCTACTGTTGCTAGTTTGGAGGAACTGAAGCAAAATTTGCCTGTGGCGCTGCTTCAGACTTTATGGGCATGAAAATAAATGATATCGGATCTCAGCTTGAACCAAGTATTGGTTGATTATATAATTATTCAGTAAACATCTAAGGATCTCATCTTTCTCGCTTCTGCTTGCATTTGCTTGCGTTGCACCCTCTGCATTGCTGCAGAGGGTGCACCGCGAAACTTCCGCGACGTTAAACGTAAACAAACTGAGGTGAACTGACTGCCCCTCTAATCTCTTCGCTGCGAGTACGTTACCTACTGATAGGCCTTGTCTCCGCGGGACGTTTTCATGGGATTTGTCCCAAGTTCGAACGCAGGAATGAAAATTCATGCAGGGAGTTTTCCCAGTTACTGTTCCCACGGGGCGGGACTCATACGGTCCCGCGACAAGTTTGCGCGGGAAGGCAAGTTCGTATATATCGAGTGTTTCACCGGGCTTAAAATAATAATCGAACACGATTGACTATTAGACACATTACTTTAACAAAACAAACACGCGCCGTGGAGAAACCAACAAAATATCGTATCGTTCGTATCATCCAGAGAGAAAAAAAGACTGCGCATTGACAAGGGGAAAGTGGAAAACAACCAGATCTTGCCGCGCTTTTTTTTCAGCCATCAGACACCCGATGCACTTTTTTCCCGTTCTCATAGAATACAACATTAAAAATCGAGATCATGTAGTTTTTTCGGATGCAGTAAATTTCTCTGCAACAATATATATTCATGGCTGACTTTTCGAAAAGTTGGCGTTTCTATTGATGTATAATACGTTCTACTTTCTCCAAAAACCACCAACGATCTTGATTTTTAAATTTCAAATTGGAAGAAGGAAGGGAATTGAAATTTCAAAACTCAATATCTTTGGTGGTTTTTGAAGAAAGTAGAACGTATTATACATCAATAGAAACGCTAAATCTGTGGGAATTTAGCCGTGAATATATTTTTTACTGTATGGGGGACTGTACTGTCACAGGTTTAGCAATCCTGCGGACCCCAGCTGGTAGCCCCTGCCTCAAAGGGGGTGGGTAGACAAGGCTCTTAGTTGTGGTGAAAGCAATCTGTCTAGGAGAGGCAACTACGAAATCAAACTCTGGCCCTCCAGATTGGGGGTTGGAGCATTGGGCTGACTCCCCGATCCTCGGAAAAAATATAGAATGTCAAAAAACCTAACCAAACAGCCTCGGTAACCATGGAAAAAAAACGGACTCTTCGACTCAAACTAAAGAAAAGGACACTGAATTTTGGAACTTGGAATGTCCAAGGGATATCGACGAAATTGACAGAGGTTGTGTCGGACATAAAGAATCACGGGGTGGACATATCAGTACTAACAGAAACCAAGAAAAAAGGCCACGGATCTGAAAGTTTAGGAGATTACGACATGTTTTTTAGAGGAGTAAGTAAGGAACAATGGGCTCAGCAGGATGTTGAAATTCTCATCCGGAAAACCTTGTGGAAGTACATTAACAACTGGGAAGCTGTGAGTCCGCGCATAATCAAGATGAATCTCAGGGTGTACGGGCATAGAATTGCACTACTTGGAGTGTACGGGGTGAATGACGATGCTCCTTTGGGGCTAAAAGACCAATTCTTTGAACAACTAAATGAAGAAATCGAGCAAATTGGAACCACGAGGGAAGTGCTAATCATGGGAGACCTAAATGGAAGAACGGGTAGTAGGAGGGGTTGCAAGGTGGTTGGACCATATGGAGAGGAAGTTGTGAATGATAGCGGTATCCGAATCATCGATAGCTGTGATCAAAATTATCTAAAAATTTTAAACGTATTTTACCAGCGTCACGACATTCACAAATACACCTGGGTGCAGCCAACGCGAGGTTTGAGGTCCATTATTGACTACGTGATTGTGAGGCAAAAATCCAAGATGAAGGTTCAGCAAGTGAGAGTGTGCAGAGGTCTCTCATGTGGCAGCGACCAACATTTTCTCGAAGCAATAATAGCTTTCCCGGCGAAGGACGGCCAGTGAGTCGAGCCTGCGCAACAAGATCAGCAGCAAGAGAGGGTTGTCCTTCATCGGAAGAAGTATAATATCGATAGTCTCCACCATGATAGCGTTAAACGTCTGTACAGGCAAAGGCTGGATGAAAAGTTGGTGGAGAGGTCTTTTAGTAGCACTGAGGAGCATTATCAATTCATTAAGGATTGTATTCACTCTGCGGCCAGTGAGGCCTTAGGAGTTTGTGAAGAAGATAACTCGAGGCGTAAGCCATACTGGTGGGACGCGGAAGTGGAACGAGAGATCCAAGATAAGCGAAACAAGTACCATTCTTTTCTGTCCTCTAAGAGGGATGAAGACAAGGTTGTTTACAAGCAGGCTCAGGCTCGGGTGAGGAGTCTCATTACAAGGAAGAAAAACGAAACTTGGGAGCAGAGTTGCTCCAAAATTAACACCTACCTCGGGAGCAGAAAGAGTGCAGAAAGTTGGAAATTATTAAAAGACCTACGAAGGGATATGAAGCGTGATATTTTATCTCCGATATCGATCCACCAGTTGGAGGAACATTTTAAACAATTATTGACCGAAAGGCGACTAGAGTTTCAGGGAGGCACGCAGATAGACACCGATGAGGCATCCACTGTATCAGTCCAGCTCTTTGATGTGGTTAAAGCCGTCAGGGAGTTGAAGAATGTGAAAGCTTATGGACCCGGAGATATTCCCTCAGAATTAATTAAATGTGGGTCCAACAGACTGTTCCATTGCTTAACCCTTTCATTACCGGGGTAGGAGTCCGGCGCGCGCACCCCTCACACCAGGATAGGGAAGGAAAAACAGTGCTCACGTAGACCATTTGGTTTTTCTTCTGTTGTTCCTTCCCTAATTGCCCAATTGACTTGAAATTTTGACAGGATATACTTTAATATATTGATTGTGAAAAAATGAATGCAATTTTTTTTTACTTTGGCTCAATTTTATTTTAAAGCTTGTCAAACTTGAAAAATTCAAAAAATTTACATAAATTTAACTCAAGTCATACTTTTTGCCAAGGAAATATAAAATTTTAAAGGTATAACAAGTGGATACTGTACAACTATCAAATAAACAAAACATCTGTGCCAAAAGAAAAAATAATATAAAAAAATTGAGAATATGGTAACATATATAAGAAAGAATAATTCGAAGTAAAATTAAAGGGAATTCAGTACCTTGCAAGACTATGATATGTTTGAAAGCAGGGTTCAATGCATAAAGTTACTTTACAGTCCTTGCATTCATATCTACTTTCTTTCCTTTTTTTTGCTATGAGCTGTGTATTTGAGCATACATGACATTGCCTGGTGGGACTTTTTTTCTTATCGGTAGGTGGGATTTGGGATGGAAAATGTCTCTCGGTTAATCTGATTGGAAGAGATGTTAGCTTTTTCCCTCCCTTCTGGCTTACATTATCTACTTTATGCTCTGCAATTAATTGATCAATAAGATTTAATCTAAATTGATGAAGACTTATCTTCTTTTTAGTGACAGACTTATATAAGACATAGGCATTGAGAATCGCTAAATCTAAGAGATGGAAAAATACCTTCTTGTACCATTTTACAGTTTTACGTACACTTTCAATACTGCTTAACAACATATCTGTCTTGTCTACTGCTCCCATATTCTTATTATAGTTTACAATACAAGTAGGTTTCATCACCTCTTCTCTTTTCCTTTTCTTGGAAACAACGTCCATACTGAAGTTATCGATAGATGTAAGGACATGCACTTCTCTTCTATCCATATATTTTACTACCATCATATCATCAGTACATTTGGCTTGCATTTCTCCTTTTTCTAATTTTGGAAAGCTAGGCATACCTTTTCTATTTAGTCGGACTGTCCCACATAGATTGGTTCCTTTTAGTTTTAGGACCTTACAAAGTGTTGGACTCGTGTAAAAATTGTCAACAAACAAATTATAGCCTTTATCTAAATAAGGTTGCATTAATGTCATCACTACAGCACCAGACTTCCCAATTTTATATTCATCTTTGTTAGACTCAGTCTTTGCTCCTAGATACATAAAGAAATCAACAATATAACCACTGGAGCTTTCACAAAATTTATAAAACTTTATACCGAAACGCGCTCGCTTAGTTTTGATATATTGTTTGAATGAAAGTCTCCCTTTAAAAAGAAGCAAACTCTCATCAATACAAGTATTTTGAGAAGGCTTAAAGAGTGTCTTAAACTTATGTCTGACATGATCATACACACAACGAATTTTATACATCCTGTCACCAGCGGGCTGATTTACATTCGAAGAAAAATGCAAGAATCGAAGAATGGCAAAAAATCTGTTCCGCGACATTAGTTTTGAAAAGATAGGAACCTGTAAAGTTGACTTTGTTGACCAACCTTCTGACATATTATTGAGCCCATGTACAGCTTGTAAAAACCATACAGCAAAGAAAAGGTAGAGTTCACTCACATTTAAGTTCTTCCATAGATTGACTGCGGAGTACTCCGTAACCCTTCCGAGAACACCGGTCTCACCAACGAAGTCACAAAAACTGTTTGTTTCTTCTGCCACTTTTTCCACAATATCAGGAGATATGATTTCTTTGAAAAAGTCTATTTCCTGGCTGTCCTGGGTTAGGTTCGATTGATAACCAACATTAAGTTCAGAAAAAGGCACTGGTTTTGCCTTGAAATGTCCACAAGTTTTCCACTGTAAAGATTGCGGGTCGAAGACAAAGGGTGAAGGTTCACATTGAGCTTCTATGTTTTGAATATTCTCAGCAATATTCTGCACTGGGGGAGGAGTAGTTTCACTTACATTATTAATTAAATTTGCGAGAGGAATGTCATCGTCGGAGTCCTCATCACTAATAATGTCAGCTGTTTCATTTTCACTCTCCTCCTCGCTCTCAATTTGAGTTACTATTTCTGCGATTTGAGTCACTAAGCACGTTCATCTTGGTAAAATGGATGAAATAACACAGTACGAATTCAGCGTAAAACTTTCGACGAGATATGATATAAAATTCGCACAATTTAATAGAAAATACCACGATGTAAACAGAAGCACATACACGAATTGGACTCTAACCTCGAACTGGAATTCCCCATGCGCTTCACATGTGATTTGTGAGGACCGATTTTGACGCACTCTATCGAGATTGGTCTCAATTTGTAGTTCATATCCTCCCGGTTAGATAGCACTCATTACAAATAACATTCGGAGAGCTGATGGTGGCGCTAGAGCGGAAAAACTAAGTGACTATCCGAAAACGAGAATACTCGGGCGTGGTGCACGGCGTGCGCTTTCCGTAGCCCGAGTATACTCGGGCGTGGTAATGAAAGGGTTAAGGGACTTGATGGATAAATGTGCGAGGGGTGATGAAATCCCGAAGGAGTGGAAAGAATGTTGGATTACAGCTACCCTTAAAAAAGGGAAAAAGGACGATCTCGATAATTATCGCGGATTGTCGGTGACCGGAACGATCAGTAAAATTTATGGTAAGATATTGAAAGCTAAAATCGAAGAAGAATGGATTCATCATGAGGCAGAAGAGCAAGCGGGTTTCAGGGCTGGCAGATCAACCGTCGACCATCTATTTTGCATCACCCAGGTTATTGAGAAGAAGATGGCGGTTGGTCAAGAATTGCACTTGGTGTTCGTGGATTTTCAAAAAGCCTATGATAGCGTGCCTTTAGTGAAACTGTGGGAGGCCTTGGAAAAATCTAATTTTACTCATGGACTAATTAATGCAATTAAGCATTTTTCTCAAGGGACTTTCGCAAGAATTAAATGTCAAGGCGCCTTGACGGGGGGTTTTTATGTAACAAAGGGGCTAAAGCAAGGGTGTTGCCTCTCCCCCACCTTATTTAAAATATACTTGGAACATGTACTGCGTGAATGGAAGAAAAAATGTTCCGGAATGGGTGTCCCTCTGAATGACGAAGAAACTCTTTACACGTTATGCTTTGCTGATGACCAAGTGATTATTGCCCAAGATCAGGATGATGCTGAGTACATGACTCGAAAGTTGGTGGCTGAGTATCGGAAATGGTGCCTCGAGGTGAATGTCAGCAAAACCGAGAAGTTGACCGTTGGCGGGAATCAGCAAAATATAGAATCACAGGATGGGCGGCAAATTAGAAGCTGCGATATTTACAAATATTCAGGAGTGTTTCTAACCCAGGATGGAAGATTGGACCAGGCCATCAAGAAGAGGAATATGCAGGGTAGGAGGGCAATCGCTATGTTAAATGGAGTCCTTTGGGACCAAAGGATCTCCAAAGAGAACAAAAGAAAGATCTACAACGCGATTGTCAAGAGCATGGTAACCTACGGGTGTGAAGTATGTCCGATAGAACAGCGGACCCGGGAGGTTTTAGAGGCAACAGAGATGGACTTCTGGCGTAGATCCGCTGGTATTTCCAGAAAGGATCGCGTCAGGAATGAGTCGGTGCGGGAGATCATGGATGCCAAACAGACCATCGTGCATGACATTATGACAAAACAACTCATTTGGTATGGTCATGTCCAGAGAATGGCAGGAGACAGGTTGCCGAAGAAGGTCCTTGACTGGGTTCCTCCTGGGAGAAGACGCAGAGGGCGCCCAATGAAAGGTTGGAGGGAAGGGATTAAAGCGTAAATGTTAAGGTGCTCAATCCCCCAAGATTTTTGGTTTGAACGAGAGCAGTGGCGGTTAGGAGTCGTAGAGCGCGAGGGAGTGCTGTAAAGCGACTTGTATGTATGTATATATTTTTGCCGAAAAATTGTTTGGATCCGAAAAAACGGTTTCGACTTACCATTTTATTTTCCATGAGAAAGGAAAAATTGGTCGGCAGGTCTTTGATCGCCTGAAAAAAACGCGCTGGAAGATCTAGTGGTCACGCACTTTCCCTTTTCCATGAGAAATCTTATTTTCTCTTTGAGATCATCAGACTTGACCTAATCGCGAGCATATCTACACCGGATCTGGCCCTTCTAAATCCGACGGTTCCAATTCATCGGGTGGAATCAGAGTCGTTGTTTTTTTTTTTATTTTTTGTAGTTCTTCCGGGAGAAAAAGTGGCGAATCTTATCGAAGATATGACAATTTAAGCATCTTGTTCCGCCGGCTGTGTGAACAAAGTCGGGGGTTTCGATTTCCATCCGTTTCGCACTACCACCCCACCATGGGGTGGGTTTCGGCCAGATGGTCATCTAGATGGTTAAACTATCATATGTTGGTTTAGGCTCTAATTTAGAAAGTTGCTCTGATCAGGAGCTGGCTAGGGAGATCGGGGACCGAGGTCGAGCCGACCAACTAAACCAAACTCACGGCTGCGTGTCTGCCCGGATAATGCCGGAATCATCCCTATTGGGGGATTTTTCTCCGGCTACAACACTTAGTGTTGGGGTGGATTGGCTGTTTAAAGAATTGTTAGTTGCTATCTTGGTTTTAATAATTTTTGTTATGTATGTTTTAATGAGTTCCCAGTTTTCTGTTGAGTTAAGCATGAGACTCATAATATTTGTTGGAGAGATATCTGTATCTAATTTAGTTTCTAATTCTTTCTTCTTTCCCTCAATGTGTGTGCAGCCGAAGAAAGTATGCTCCGGCGTATCCGGAGCAGACAAGCATAGGGGGCATAGAGGGGAGGGAGCAAGCTTAAATCTGTATAGGTATGAGTTAAAAGAGCCGTGTCCAGAGAAAAATTGAGACAAGTAGAAGTCGGCGTCTCCATGACTGCGTTCAATCCATGGCTGAAGTGAGGGGAGCAATTTGTGTAGCCATTTGTCCTTATTTTCCATTCCTTCTTCCATCCATCTTTGGTTCCATCTTCTGTTGATGTCGATTTCTATTTCAACCTTATCCTCTGACTTTTTGATTGTGCGAAGTCTTTTTTCAATTAAAAGGTCCGTTGGTGGTAAATCGGTGATGACATTAAGTACATTATTACTGACAGTTTTGTAGGCTGAGCTTAGACTTCTCTTGAGAGGTCTGATGGTGGTGGTAATTAGGTTTGTGTTCTTTTTCCTATTGCAGGAGGTAGCCCATATTTCAATTCCATACCATAGAATGGAGAGGATGGCATGAATGATCAGTCTTCTTTTAAGAAACGTTGGTCCGTCGATGTTTGGCAGGATTGATCTAAAGTGGTTTGTAACTGCTTTCGTCTTTTCACAAGCGATCTTTATATGGTGTGACATGTTGAGACCCTTGTTCAGATTAAATCCAAGGTATTTCAGCGTAGTCCCAACATCCAAGATTTCCCCATTTACTGAAATCTTCGCGTCAGCTCTGTCCACTTTCCTGCTTTCAAGAATTAAAGACTCTGTCTTCGAATTTTCCATTGAAAGTCCTCTTTTTTTCAGCTTTTTCTTCGTTTGCTTTGTGATGCTCTCGCTGTCTTGAAGAAGGGTTTCTTTGTTCTGTGTAATGAGTACTTTTAACATGTCGTCAGCATAAGCTAATTTTTCTGCATGAGGGTATGTTTTGCTTCTGAGGATCGGGTCATATACTATGTTCCACAGGAGGGGTCCAATTATGCTTCCTTGAAAACTGCCTGCTTTTGTTTCAAAAACTAACTCTCCTGATTCCACGTATCTGTCTTGTAGATAATTTTGCATGACTGCAATAAGATAGTCAGGTACTTTTTGTTTTTTCAGTTCCCTGATTATATCTTTCCAGCGCAGGCTGTTGAACGCGTTGCGGATGTCGATACCAATAATGCACAGCATTTTCCTTTTATCATATGGCACCTTTTTGTTATTATCATATATTTCTACTGGCTTCTTCATAGCATGCGTGGTCGATCTTTGTTTCCGGAATCCGAATTGATTGTCTGATAAGGTCACATAGTTCATGAAGCGTTCTTGGAGTATGTATTCAAAGATTTTTGAAAATGAGTTAAGAATACAGATCGGACGGTATTTTTTGGGATCTGTAGGTTTCTTCTTGATCTTTGCAATCAATATCAATCTTGCTCTTTTCCAGTCAAGAGGGAAGGTGGAAGTTTTCATAAGGGTATTTATCATTGCTTGAACTTTCTCTACGTTATTTGAGACAAAAAGTTTAACTAAAATTTGCGGTATCCTATCAGGGCCCGGAGACTTATTAGGTTTGAGTTTCTTTGTAGCATTTAGGATTTCATTTTTGGTTATCTGCGGAATCTCATCCGGATTTATTTCTGGTGTATTCCATGTGTTTTTGGGATGGACTGGAAAGAGATTTCTAATCGCTTCGATCGTTTCCTCACTTGATATGGCATTTTCATCATAAGATCTAGGACTTTTAAGTTTTTTGCTTACGATTTTGTACCCCGTGCCCCAAGGGTCGTTATCTAGATCATCAATCATTTTGTTCCATTTTGTCTTTTTGGAGATGTTGATGGCTTTTTCTAGATCTTTTTTAGTAAGTGTCAATTTTTGAGCGAGAATCGAGGTGGGCCTTTTATGAAATTTAAAGTAACGGATTTTGCTTTTTAGTCTATCTATTGCTTTAAAGAGTTTTTTAATCTTGGGATTCCACCAGTAAACCGTTTTCGTCTTAAGCGGATTGTTTTGTATCTTAGAGAAGATCCTGTCAGCGGCTGTTATGATTATATCCTTACATGACTCCGGGGTCAATTCTTCTTGTTGATTCTCAGTCATTCTTTTCGTTTCAGAGGTAAAACTTTTGTATTTGGAGGGATCCATAAACCATCCCTCTATTTTGCTTGTGAACTTAGTATTTCCCTTGTTCTTATTGTAAGAGATAAAAATTGGTCGATGGTCACTGAGGGTTTCGTTTTCGAGTACTTCGATGGTGGTTTTATCTTTAATGTCTGCAGATACAAATGTAAGGTCTACAACTGAGGAGCCCCTATGACCTATGAAAGTAGGGATGAAATTTTCGCTGTCGTTTAGGCAAAAGAGGTTATTTGATATCATCCATTCATCGACAAGCTTCCCTCTGGAGTTAAGTTCGACGTCTCCCCAGGAGAAGGAACGGCTGTTGAAATCTCCAGTTATGATAAAGTTTCGATTTTCATTAGATTTCATCAGCGTTTTATCAGCGGATATAGAAGGCTGGAACACTCCTGCAGATGCTGTGGCAGATTTAGAAGCTACAGCAGCCAATTCCAACTGATCTTTTAGATGATCCCATTTCTTCATTATCTCATCCCAGGTGACGTTCATTTTGTGTTTTTTCGTTTTCTTCAAGGGCAGTCCTTTCTTCAGGGCATATTGTTGGTATTTTGACAGGGGCTTGGGTTTAGGGACAGGTAACTCTCGGGGCAGGAAATATTTCGGTTTGGGTAGCTTGGCCACGATAACATCATCAACTCTTTCGGAAGGTAGTTCCCAGACCTCATTCAACAATAACTGTGTGTTGTCTCGAGCAAATTCCTTCAAGTAGTCTTCTCTGTTATTTCCTAATTCTTCGGAATTTAAGTCATTAGGATCCACTGCTAATAATGTGCCAACATCGGTTTCATTATCATCTCAATTTGGTCAAGGGTCTTTTCAAGTTCAACGTCCTTTTCTTCAGAATTTAGATAACAGGCGATTATTGTTATTTCATTCCATTGAAAGGTGCTGAAATTTCTGAAACTTTTCCAGTTTTTAGTAGTTCCGATTAGGTTGCTAGTTGTCTTAATTGCCACTTTTTTATCTTCAGATTCGAAGTATTTCTCTTTATGACTTTTCTTAGCATTTGGTTCTGTAAGAATTACTATTCCTGCTTTTTTGTGTGTAGCAATATTATCGATCATGTTCATACACAGAACCCTTTTTTTTGGCGTTGCTGAGGATAGCATTAAATCCGTAGTTGTTATCAATAGACTCGTCGTTTGGGCCACATTGATCTTTTGTTTTTGGAGTAAACGTGCTTAGAGAGCCGGATGTGCATTTTGTAAAGAATTTAATCTCTGTGTGATTAGTGTTATTATCAGATGAATCACTGCTTTCATCTTGATTAGTTAGGTAGGTGTCAATTGTTGCCTGCTTCATTTTTTTTGGGTGTTTCTTTATGATTTTGAGTCGTTTGTTGATCATTAAAGATAGAAAATCTGTTCTTTGTCACGGGTGGATTAAACGATCGGTGATCGATCAACTGTGGTCGGTGGTGAGAAGATGCAGAATCATTTCTGGTTCTGGATGTAGTTCTAAGTGCTTTTTCGACTCTAGAGAAGGCGTTCCCAAAAAGATTATCTATGTGTTCATTTATTTTCTCTCTGTCTTTGTTATCCATGTTGTAGATTATTGATTTGTGTCAATAATGCGTTGTTATTTTGTGACTTGAGTTCTTCAATTATACTTGGGTTCGCCTCTCTGTAGCATCTTTCTGTCTGTCTTTCCAATTCTCGTTGAAGCTGTGGGCATTCTTTATCGGTCGGTAGATGGTTGAGAGTACCTTTCCCTCTATTTGCTCTTTTGCAGTTTATACAGTTTTTGGTTGCTTTACATTCCGAGATTTTGTGTTCAGATGATCCACAGTTTTTACAAAGATTCATTTCTTCGCACTTAGCTGATGCATGAAAACCAAAACATTTAGTACAATTTGAAACATAAATGATTGGTGTAATAGTAACTCTTCTAAAATGATTTGGCGATGGTAGAAATTCTTTTTTACTATTTATTGATTCTAGCAGAGGAGAAGTGACTCTCATGAAGACTGTCATCTTGGTGCTATCAAACCTTGATGTGATCCTTCTAAATATCTTGACATTTTCTCTTATGTAGTTTCTGTTATATTGAGGGACGTTCAGATTTTCCTCTATCATACCATGTATCTGCTCGTCTGAGAAACTTGCGTTTATAGCTGTAATTTTCATGACTTCGGATGATTTTCTTGATGTTATGTCAACTTCTTCTTGGGTTACTTCATTTATGATTTTTTGGAGATTTTGTTTCAGATTTTCTTTTTCTGTTGAGGTTCCACGTATCTTTATTGTTGTTCCTCCGTTTATAAGCCTGATCAAATCTATGTTCGAGTTATTTCTGAAAATCTTCGACTTTTCCATAATATAATTTATGGTGCTCTCTTCTTTCTCTTTTTCTATTTTTACTCCTTTCAAGTTGACATTGAAATCAAAAATATTGTCGTTTTTGTTTGCGATTTGGTTGCACTGAAGGTTTTTCTTGAGTCTATCTGCGTATGATTGTAGAGCGGGGTATTCTTTGTGCTTTACATTTTGCTGTACTGATTTATCTATCTGTTTGATGGATTGTTGAAAAGTCTGGTTGCTCTTTTCTAACATTTTCTTTATTTCTTTTAGTTCATTCATTGTTTCCTGCTGTTTCTTTTGGGACTCGCTGTGATGTTTTTTGAGTTCTTGAATGTCTTTGTTGATCTGATTTAATGGTTTATCTTCGATTTTCGTGGTTTGAGGGTGTTGCTTTGTGAAAAGTTCTTCAAAAAATGAATATATTTTTTGAAAGTGACGTCTAAGAGCTGTTGCGTCCGGTGTTGGGTGTTGCTTAATATACTTTTCCCAAGTTTTTTCAAGTTTATCTTCGGTATCCTTGCTGGGTTTGGTCTGACTATTTTCCGTTTCCTTGTTAGTTGGTCCTGTTTTCAAAGGAGTGAATAGTGTTGATGGGTCTATTGATTTGTTCTTTTCTTCGTTTTGTTCCTGCGGTTTTGTGGTAGTTGAGTTGGAAATGGATGTTTGGTTGTTTTGTTCCTTTTTTGGGATTGAAGGTTTCTTAATCGGTGTAGGTGTCCTGGATTTAGGGTTTCCTCGTCCTGCCTGATTGTGAGTGTTTCCTCTGCCTCTGCCTCTGTTTTTGGTTTTAGCTCTATGCCCTGTGTCGTCTTCATCCTCTGTGTCGTTTGGTGTATTGGTTTTACTTCCTTGCGTTGAGGGTGTAAAGAAGCTTTCAATTTTCTTCTGTTGATTTTCGGTTGTTTTTGGTTTTTGGCTTTTGGGGTAAGAACTTAGATCCGTGTCGCTGAATGACTTTTTCAGAATCGATAAAGTCCTTTTACGTGTGGGGGTTCCTATGTCGATTACCATTTCTTCAGCTGGTGTTGGAGTTGATGTTCTAAATTTACCAGCTGCTATTGGGTCATATTCGGGTAGTTTTTTGGTGAGGGCTTCTTTCTTTTCCTCCATTTGCTTGACATAGTAGAGTAGTTCTTGTTTCTCTTCTTCCTTGAGTAGCGGATTTTTTGACTTGTCCGAGATTTTGGCCATCTCAAGTGCTAATGCGATGATTTCCTTCCTGATTTCTTGAACCGGGTCCTGTTTTTGGTGTTGTTGTTCATTCTGTGTTGATGTTTCTCCCGTGCCTGGTGTTTGGATTTCAATTTCAATTATCTCCTTTTGAGTTACAGAGTTTCCATTTGAGTTGTTTCTGTTCGGATCTATTGTTCCTATTTCTTCGTTGTTATGAGGGTCTTGAGATGGTGGAGGATCGGCTGAAATTGAAGATCCTGTGGGTTTAGTCGGGTTGGTGTCCATTATTGCCAAGAGCTGATGTTTCCTAACGTTGCAACCTTTTGAGCTGCAATCTGTTATGGCATGTGAAAGGCACCTACAAATTCGACAGTGATATTATTTGTCGTGATATATGCACTTCCTCATGCTAATTGTGTGGGTGAGAATGGAATGGTCCGAAACGCGTGTTGGTGCAGCTGTGTTCGCAGCGTGCTTGATTTAAAAACGGCGCGCGGCGCGCGGTGGCGGCGCGGCGGTGTGATACTCGGCGCGGCGCAATGCAGCGCGTAGATGCTGTGGTGATAGTGGTATGGGTCACTGTCACTGTCAATGAAACGTAAGCGCGTAGTATCAGGTGCTTCCTTCGCTATAAATCGAGTGATCTGATAAGTGTCTGTCGTGGTTTTTCGTGCATGCGCCGAGAAGAGTTCAAAGTCATATCGCTGAATCTCAGATCTGATTATTGTCTTAGCATTGTTGCCGAAGTTAAGCTTAAATGCGCATGCGCGAGCGAAAGAAAGTGACGAGTGGGTGGTGAGAGTTGGCAATTTAGGATTACGCAATCACTCACTCACATCACTCATCACTAAAGAAAAACCGAAGTTTTCCGCCCTGAACGGGCCACTATGTCCTGGAAAAGTTCCTAATCTTGTTCATCTTTAAGAACTGAACAGATAGGTGTAAAATTCACTATTAAAAAGAGGTTAAGACACTGTTTACGAACAGTAAAACGAGGAGCCGATGCAACGTAGGTCTGGACGACTTGAGGCGCAGTTGCCGGATCTTCCAGAGTCGTTGTTGTCAGTAATTTTTTGTAGTTCCTTCCATAACCTCTCTCTTTAGAGGAGCTTTCGTCATCATGTCTTATGATGCTGTGACCCATGTAAGGATTTGCTGATGGTGGAGTCCAATCGCAGTAGAGGAAGTCTCCCGCCACAGGTCCCCCAAGCTTGTATTTTTTTACGATCGTGCGTTAATCCCATTTCGCACGATGTGCGTTGTCTGGTCTGAAAATATAAAAAGAAAAAAATGTAAGACGCTAAATAAACCTGTGACATCTACATTGGGTTTTTCAATAATAGCTTCCCATTCCATTGACAAAATTTGGGTTGCATTTACTCGTATGGAAGATGAGTTCGGGTGAGATCTTTTACATGTTCTAAACACTGGAAAAACAAGCAGTGAACTCCAACACAATGTGTTGATAAGGCGCGTCATTAGCTCACACATGTCAACCCCTTTAGTTTTCATTTACAGAGATTTCAAAATAGGCAAGCAGCACAACAAGAGAATTCACGATCCAACACTGCGAGGTCAACGACGCACCTTGACGAGACCGTGTATTGTAAATGTAGAAAGCTATTCGAACGAATTTAAGTTTTTTGATCTGCCTCAACCAAAATCTTATCAGATTCTTGAAGGAAAGTGCTACGGAATAATTTAAGCGAAGAAAGGACAAATTTTGTCGAACTCCTAGAAGATAAAGTCGATTTAAAGGTATTTTGGGGCTAAAATACCCAAATCAGCGGTAGTATATCATTGACTCGATATAAATGCAATTACATTAAATATGTCTTGATTTTGTCATTTTAAACGTTTTTCCATGCAAAGAAGTTCAACCATGTCGTTGATTTATTCATTCATGAATTGAAAGTAAGCAATCTACATCCCCAAAATCTACCGATTTGCCGAAAAAAATCGCAAAAACTTGATATGCCAGGTCGATTTACCCACTCGTTGAATTTACCAATCAATTTCGTGAGTGCATATATGTAAAAATCAATATACTATAGTCATTTTGGGTGCATTAATTTTTCATGAAACGAAAAAAGTGGATTAAATCCCGAAAAACCATCAATTTTCCGTATAAAATCGAAAAAAATCGAAATATGTCGACTCCCTGACGTGAAAATTAGATTCTACGTGTGTAAATACTTATGTATCGATATGCTGAACAGAAACTATGTGTGGACTCAGTCAGAAGCCCGCGGCAACATTAATTCGACAGAAAAACTGTAAAAATTAGAGGGGATTTTAGCCGCTTTGCCCGCCTCTCCTCGTTACTTACAACAAACCGTTCTTATACTCATCTCAAAATTTTTCTCAGAGCTTTGGGTTATTATCAGCTTCCATTTAAACCCCGGTTCAATGGCCGAATAGGCTGCCAAAAAAGCAAGCCACTTTTGAAGGGTTCTATGAGAAATTCGTGATATTATTGGCTCTCGGGAAATCACCCCATGGCTAAAATTGGTGGTATAAATGTTCAAGTGCTTCAAATAATCGTATTCAAGAAACTAAGGCACTAAACTATGGAGTCAATTTCCTTTTAATAATATAACGGGATTTACTACCGTTGATTTAGCGATTATAGCCCCAGAATACTTTTAAAGCGCCTTTACGTTCCAGAATCTCGACGGAATTTTTTTTTTTTTTTTTTTTTTTTTTTTTTTTTTTTTTTTTTTTTTTTTTTTTTNTTTTTTTTTTTTTTTTTTTTTTTGGCTTAAACAATTCAAGAGACACTAGTTAAAAATATAATGATTTTTCGATTTGGACGTATAAAAAATGTTTAACTCGTTCAGGCACACCTTGTATTGTATGGAGTACTGCTGTTATTCGACCCTTGTCTTCAGGTCAAAATTCTTACAAAGAAGCCCCTTGCTGGAGGCAAATTTTTTGTAATTTCTCCCAGTTTTTTCTCCGTTAGATTTATAATTGAACTGCTTGTCGAATTCTGAGGTCAATTATATTTAATTGTAATTTATACATTTCTTTTTTTCCCCTTCATTTTATTTTCTGTGCGCGTTCGATGCGCCTACTAATAGGAGAGCACGTGGGTCTCGGCGAGACCACGGCGAGTTGTGGTTGGTTTTTGCGCCGGAGGCGCGTGAACACCCCAAAGGGATGTCCCCTCGGGCTACTCTCGGGTGGGACACCCGAGAAGCAGGGTGACGCTCGCAAAAGGATGGAGGGGGGCGTCATCCTGTAGAGTTGCCTCAAAAGGGGGGGGGCGATGCGCTTGGAGTCTCGGGACAGGGCGGCCCGTGCGGCCCGTGACGAGGCACAGCGGAGTCTTCGTCCCGTGTTGTCGCGAGAGAATGGCCCTCGGGGTGTTCACTCTTTCCGAAAATAGTCCCAGGCGATCACTATGGGATCTGCCTGGTGGCGGGAACTCCAGTGAGTGAAACCCATGACGACAGCACCACATGGAAGGAGAAAGGGGCCGGAGTCACAGGCTGACCTGACCCGAACGGACGAAGATCATCGCCAGGGAGGATGGCAGAGTAAGGTGCTCACGCAGTTGGGAACGCCTTCACTTTCCAGGCGAGCCAAGGAGGTTGCAGCTGGCCAATGCGTTGTCAGAGACGTGGCAGGAGGAGAGCCGGAGCCACACTTGGATCGAAAATCAGACCAAGGGCAATGACAGGATACGAATCGAAAAGTAGATCGCACCGTTGGGCTGCAACGCTGGAGCAGGGCGAGGGCAACACTTGAATCGAAAGACAGATCAAGGGCTAAGACAGGATACGAATCGAAAAGTAGATCGTACCGTCGGGCTGCAAGGCGGGATCAAAGCAGTGGCCGCACTTGAATCGAAAGGCAGATCAAGGGCTAAGACTGGATACGAATCGAAAAGTAGATCGTACCGTCTGACTGCAAGGCTGGAGAAAAGCGGTGGCCACACTTGAATCGAAAAGCAGGTCAAGGGCTAAGACAGAATACGAAGCGAAAAGTAGATCGTACTGTCGGAAGAGCTCGATTTTCCTAGGCTCGGCCGTGGGGATGCCTTCAAATTCCAATCTCCCAAAAGAAGCGGAGCACGTCCGCGGCCGAGCCATCAGCGCCACCTAGCGGATGCTGTGGGAGGCTGGGATGGGTGTCGCGACGCGGCGTCGCGGAATCGTAGCGGGGAAAGGGGGGCGGGGGGGCGGACGGCGCGAGTCGCGGGCGCAGCGTAATCAGTAGCGGAGCAACCGCCGGCGCGGTGATGGAAGCGCTGCGCCTTGGCTGGAAGGAGATTCCAGCTGGCCTTAGTTCGCGGCGCGAACACATTCCGCCCGCCGTGAGGCCCGTGAGGGCTCACTATAATATCCAAAACTCCTAATTTGGGCTGGAACTATCCTTGAGGTGTGATCTTCAATAGGGGATGTGCGATGACAGTGGCTCTGAAAGAGCGCAGTATTTAGTACATAATCCTGTGTTTGAGATTGGTAGTTCATCGCATAGCATGCGGGGCTACAAGTTTCCATAGGGGGGAAAATTTTTTTTGGTTTTCGACGGCGTCGGGGTACGGAAATATATCCGTTATTCTGATAGGAGAGCTTGCAATCTTCAAAGTCAATATTAATCGACGGATTTTTTGGAGATATCTCAGATTTTGGAAATTCGTCTGTGCACAGGAGTCGGGGTTTTCCGCCTACCGTCTGCAACTTTTCTCGCTCTTGACACCAAAGCTCAAATGAAGAATGTGCCGAGTGGGAAGTTGTGTTTATAATTCGATTTCTGACGGGGCCTCGAGATCGTCGGCGAGTAAAGGGGGTGCCCGCTGGTCTTGGAGCTTTGTGCTCGCGAGACCTGTTATTTGATTGCTTCACCGGGAGACAGTTTGAATCGAATCCTATACTCGTTTTCTGAAGATTGCAGTGCATGAAGCCTTCCCCACGAGGTACGGGCTTGACAGGTTTAATGGTATCCGAATTCCAAAATTTGCGTGGTTGCGTCTGAGCGGCCGGCGGCCGGGTTGGAGCCGAATTGAATAGGTTGGTTAACAGCGTGATCTGAGATCCTTTGGGCGCTGGAGCTGAGCCCATGAGAACGCATCCAAGGACCGTTTGAAACGCAAAGGGCAGCGATGGGCCTAGTGAGTGGGGAGGACCCACAACGATGCATGGAAAGACTTCAGCTCCAACCAAAATTTGCACCGGGCCTGGGGTGTCAAAGTCCGGGTCGGCAAGGTTCCAACCTTGAACCTTTTTACGGACGATGGACGATATCGCTGTGGTGGGAGTGGGATCCGTGATCGTGTCGACAACGGTGACCGTGTGATTTTTCACGATTTTCTTATGTTGCACGGAGGCCAAAGTGACATTAACTTGCCCGAAAGTTTGCACTTTCATTTCCCAGATAGTCCGCTTACATCGTGGCTGGGGTTGTCCAGGAGTAGGCCTAAATCTTGGACGCATTTTCGAGTAATGAGCGTCCCTTGCGATACGGAATCCAAAATTCCACGCACCACTTTGGATCCTTTATGCGTCTTGATGCGCAAACGGACCGTGGCTAGAAGCACGGTGGAAGGGGTCGCAGTTACTCCGACAAATGCAGGTTTGGAGGAGGCCTCTTCTTTTTTGGGATGAAAGGTTACATTCTCATTTACCTTCTTTTCAGTTTCCACGTGGAGCAAAGTGTGGTGGGGTTTCTGGCAGAAATTGCACACTTCGGACGAAGAGCACTGTGAGCGAAAGTGGGGGCCAAGATATGTCCAGCATTGACTTTTGGAGGTGACAAACTCTCGACGTTCAAGGGCGGTCTTATCCAGAAAGACCTGGCAATGCTTTAAAAAATGAAGTGCTGGGCAGCACGGACATTTAGACGGACCTGAAAAGCCGCCTGACGACGGTTTCATCTTTGCAGGGACATTGCTAAGAGTGGCGGAGGACCCTTCTGCGGGTTCTTCCTCCTCAGAGGATGCTGAGCGGTCGGAACCCTCAGCGCGGGATACCAAACTCTTGGTTTGCTTGAGGAAAGAGGATTTCGCCTTATCTCTTTTCCTCCTGGGTTAGGAGTCGGCGTTAGTCTCACGGCGCGCGGCGTGAAACCAGCGTCTTTGTTTCCTTTCGCATTGCGGCGCCATCCTCGGCGCTACGACACTCTTTGTCCAGGAATTCCACAAGAACTCGTAATTTGGGGTAGGATTCATATGCTCCACGGTAATCCTCCAACCTCTGCTTGACGCGAGGAGAGAGCCTGCTGATGACCAAAGCTGTCAGCAGGCCGCCATAGGATTCAGGAGCATGACCGAGAGCAGTGAGCGCTTGCGAGTGCTCTCGGATCTTAATGATGAATGCAAGAATATGGTCGGCTTGCTTGATCTCGGGAAGATCCAACACGCCGTTATAATGGTAAAATACGTGTCGCCTTTCGGAGTCGTATCTCTTCTTTAAAAGCTCCCATGCGACCGTATAATTGCCTTCGGTAATGTCCAGACTGGAAATCAGAGCCAAAGCATCGCCCTTCAAACTGGCGATTAAGTATTGAAATTTCTCTACGCTAGATAGGGCCTCGTTAGAGTGCACGGAAACTTTGAACATGTTGTACCATGTTCGCCATTGGCCGAGAGAACCGTCAAATTTGGCTAGCTGCAATTTGGGAAGTCAAAATGGAGAGGCCGAAAATGAACTATTGTTTATGATCGACGTGGCATTATTTGGTGCGCGGGTAACTGGCAATTTTTCCCAAAAAGCTGCCTGAGTATCGATAATGAGGCGATCAAATTTCTCCTGAGTTATCTGAGTGTCAAGTTAACTTTCAGAAGGGGAACTTGCGTTCAAAATAACAATTTGGTCCTGTAGCTCCTCAAATCGGTCTCGATGGACGTTTAAACGCTCAAAACTGGGCCTAAAAGTCTCGGCGTTCTCGGTCGTGAGTTTCTGTTTGAACTGATCGCGTATGCTACGCACCGCGTCAACACATAGGGTTCTCCGAGCTCGTAGCATGGTTCGAAAAGACGCTTGTGGATCAGATGGGTTCTCGCCGTCATTTGACGATTCTTCGGTCATTATTCACAAAAAATTGCATGCACAATATAAAAGGCAGAGCTGATTGGAGGCAAATCAACAGGGGCGCCTTTTAAGAAAAGAAAGAAATGGATATTTATCCAAAGGACCGGTGTCAACAGTTTCAATTGAAATCTTCTGTGGGTGAGAAAACTTCAAGTGAATCCGGCCAATCGAGGGACCATAAATGTGCGCGTTCGATGCCCCTACCAATAGGAGAGCACGTGGGTCTCGGCGAGACCACGGCAAGTGGTTGGTTTTTGCGCCGGCGGCGCGTAAAAACCCCAAAGGGATGTCCCCTCGGGCTACTCTCAGGTGGGACACCCAAGACGCAGGGATGGAGGGGGGGGCGTCAGCCTGTAGAGTTGCCTTAAAAGGGGGGGGGGGCGATGCGCTCGGAGTCTCGGGACAGGGCGGCCCGTGACGCGGCTCAGCGGAGTCTTCGTCCCGTGCTATCGCGAGAGAATGGCCCTCGGGGTGTTCACTCTTTCCAAAAATAGTCCCAGGCGATCACTATGGGATCTGCCTGGTGGCGGGAACTCCAGTGAGTGAAACTCACGACGACAGTGTAACGGGAAAAAAACCACTCTTCCCGTCACATGGTTAGGAGGACACAGGATTTCACTCAACTCTAGAAAACATGCGATAATAACTTGACTTCGGGCGCCAACCTGTGTCTCCAACACCTATGGAAGCTCAGGGTCGGCTAGGGTCTGTGAAAGCATACTACAATAACATTGCGGTGGTACAGGAATAATACAATTTATATATCAAGAAAATACTACACAATAATGAGAAATAAAAGCGCTACAGAATCTATTGCAGCATAAACCACAAAGTGGAATAATACAATATATATATATATCAAGAAAATACTACACAATAATGAGAAATACAAGCGCTACAAAATCTATTGCAGCATAAACCACAAACT